CGGACTAATCCCCTACGGACTTCGCGAGAGACAGGGGCCCTAATGGGGGTCAGGAGAGGCCGGCGCGGGCAGGGGGGAAAGGTCTTGAGGGCAGGCTCGCGCCATGGGACCAGGCGCCACGCAGCGGCGAGGGCCTATGAGATATGGAGGGGGGGGGGGGGGGCAGAGCGCGCCACGCAATATGACAAAGTTTGGCTGAAAATCGAGGCGAGCGTGCCACGGCGCGTCCAGCCCCGCAGAAGGCGGGGATCGCCGGCACCGAGTGCGGGCGCGTTGCTGGCAGGCACAGGGGGTTCAAGAGGCTGGGCTCGCGTCGCCCTGCTCTTCTCGGGCTCTGCGGACCTGCTTGAGAATATTAACGCCCAACTCCACCTGCTTACCAAGCCATTCAGCGAGGGCAGGACAGATCATAATTAGCCTCTCCCGCGTCACGCTGACCACGAAACACATTGTACTCGACGATGTAGCCGAAGACGCCAGTGATGGCACCGCCGCCTACATGCCCACGACCCTTCTTCCCACGGCCTGCTCGCGCACTGCCCGCGCTCTCTGAGGGGCCCGCGAGCGCATCATGCTTGGAGCATGCGTACTCGACCAGCTGCACCTCCCTGAGGGGGCTTTCCATCCCTGCGTCACTCGGCCAGTCGGTGCACTCATGGCACCCGAGAGTCACCGAGGCCTTCAGACCGAATTCGCGCATGCTGGCTATCCAACGTTCTTTGTGCAGCCGCTGGATCACAGCGAGGCTGTGGTGGTGGTCATGTAACACGCCGCCTCGCAGGTCGATGCAGCGGCGGCACCAAAGCGCTGTGCGTGGGTCCTCGATCGTCCAGTCGGGGAAGGCGATCTCTGAGAGTGCTGAGGCCACATCGCGCCACGGACGACGAACTCGAAACCCATTGATCGAGATCACCGAGAGGGCACGGGCGTCTCCCGTTGCCACCAAACCTCTGTGCTCGTCTATCTGGTCGGATCGGGACAGGCGCATCAGAGTGGCTCGACCATCTGCGGGGGTGTGGACTCCGATGTCACCAGTCATCATCTCATTGTTACTAGGGGGACGCTCGTACCAAACAGCTCGACTGCGGTGATCTCCGCGGTCCCCTGCGCAGGCTGCGCGATGAATGGAGCATGCAGCACCAGCGGTGCGCCCACTGCCCCAGGCAGTGCTGCGGCGGCGCCACATAGCCCAGCGGGCAGGCCAGCGGCCACAGGTGCAGCGAGGGCGGCAGAGGGCCGCGGTGCCGCCAAAGCGGCCGCGGGCCCGCTGGGCCTCGCTGCCTGCACGGCCAGTGCGCCCAGCGGGGCCAGCGTCCTTGGGGCGGCGGCGCCCATGCCAGCGCTAGCCGTTGGAGCCTCGCCTCCTGGTGGGGCTCCGGCTCCCGCCATCCCGCTGGCAGCGGGCGTTCCCGCGGCTGCTCCTCCCGCGGCACCAGGGACAGGCGGTAACCAGACGGACTCGAGCAGGCTGCCTCCAGACGGGAGTACACCAGGTTGCTGTTCAGCCACCGATTTGTGAACGAGGTACTCGCCGTCGCACAGCGCCGGCCCCGTCGCTGTGCGACCGTGGGCAGAACGGCCGCGTCGGGGTCCCGACGGATCGATACACTCGGTTGCGAGGGACACCAGAGGGAGGAGGCTGGTGTGCACCCGCCCAGCGCCAGGCCTCGATGCTGCGCGAAGCTCCTCCTCCCACCACGGCTGCGGTGGTCAGCTCACCGACGGCGGAGCCCGCCCGTGCAGCGTTCCAGCTCGGCAGGACCGATCCTGCGCCTGGCGCCTAGCGCGGGCAGGCTGCGGCCACGCTGCCGGCAGACGAAGGGCACGGCGGGCTCGCGGGACACGGCGGCACAGCTGAACAGAGCTCCGCCGCAGGCCGCGTCGGGGCGCCGAGGGCAGGGGGCAAACCTCGAGAGCTCCGCCCCGCCAGCCCAGAGCGCGGCGAGCAAGGGGAGGATGGGCAAGCACTGACGCAAGGATGGCGTGGGCCCCCCCTCCCCTTCTTTCTCAGCTTGAGCCCCGCGCGGCGGCAGGGCGGCATCATATCAAAGAATATTCTAGCAACCCCGTCCAGTCGGACTCGGAGGAGAAAGAGGAGGAGGAGGAAGAGGAAGGGGGAGGAGGAGGGGGATGATGATGATGATGATGATGATGATGATGATGATGATGATGATGATGATGATGATGATGATGATGATGATGATGATGATGCTGATGATGATGATGATGATGATGATGATGAATGATATGATGAATGATGATGATGATGATGATGATGATGCTGATGCTGATGCTGATGCTGATGCTGATGCTGATGCTGTGATGCTGATGCTGATGCTGATGCTGATGCTGATGCTGAGGATGATGCTGAGGATGAGGATGAGGATGAGGATGAGGATGAGGATGAGGATGAGGATGAGGATGAGGATGAGGAGGAGGAGGAGGAGGAGGAGGAGGAGGAGGAGCAGGGAGGAGGAGGAGGGGGAGGGAGGGATGGAGCAGGGAGGAGGAGGAGGAGGAGGAGGGGGAGGGAGAGGGAGGGAGGGATGGAGGAGGGCCAAGAGCCGACGGGCCCCGTGAGTGCGCACGGGGCGCGGGCGGCGAGGTCGGGGAGGGGCCCGGGACGTGTTGGGCCCGCGGGCTCAGAGGGACGTGTTGTAGCCACACATCAGGAGGGGAAAAAGCCACACAGACGCAATTCATCGTCGATCTCCCAGAAAATATTTGCAAATATGAAGGATATTTCCCAACCCTCCTGCGTTGGGTTCTCGTTTTGAATAGAGCACTGCTCGCGAGTCTCCTTCCTTCCTTCCCGCCCCTCTCTTCCCCCTTGCCTTGCGCCTCGCTCGTCGCTGCGTGCCAGCTGGGGGGCTGCGATCTGTGAAACTGTCGCCACTTCCGAGGCCTGCTGGGGTGCCCAGCACAGTGGGTGCTCACCGCAGACTCAAATGGGACCTCGCCATCCCTGGGGGGCTGCGATCTGTGAAACTGTCGCCACTTTCGAGGCCTGCTGGGGGGCCCAGCACAGTGGGTACCCACGGCGGACTCAAATTAGACCTCGCCATCCCTGGGGGGCTGCGATCTGTGAAACTGTCGCCACTTCGAGGCCTGCTGGGGGGCCCAGCACAGTGGGTACCACCGCGGATTCAAATTAGACCTCGCCATCCCTGGGGGGCTGCGATCTGTGAAACTGTCGCCACTTTCGAGGCCTGCTGGGGGGCCCAGCACAGTGGACCCACCGCGGACTCAAATTAGACCTCGCCATCCCTGGGGGGCTGCGATCTGTGAAACTGTCGCCACTTTCGAGGCCTGCTGGGGCCCAGCACAGTGGGTACTCACCGCAGACTCAATGGACCTCGCCATCCCTGGGGGGCTGCGATCTGTGAAACTGTCGCCACTTTCGAGGCTGCTCACAGTGGTATCACCGGGGCTGACCTCGCCATCCCTGGGGGGCTGCGGTCTGTGAAACTGTCGCCACTTTCGAGGCTGCTGAGGGGCCCAGCACAGTGACCCACGCAGACTCAAATGGGACCTCGCCATCCCTGGGGGGCTGCTGCGATCTGTGAAACTGTCGCCACTTTCGAGGGCTGCTGAGGGGCCCAGCACAGTGGGTACTCACCGCAGACTCAAATGGGACCTCGCCATCCCTGGGGGGCTGCGATCTGTGAAACTGTCGCCACTTTCGAGGGCTGCTGAGGGGCCCAGCACAGTGGGTACTCAGCGCA